ATTATTTTACATATAATCACTTACTATAAATCTAAAACATATATACAATTTATTAAATGTTTTATTAATATTTACATTTAATAACATTTAATTTGTAATAATAAAAATAATATTTAACAATAATAAATGTATTACAATTTACTAAAATGTATTATTATTTATTTTAATTTTTTTTATACAACTATATTGAGATGCATAAAGAAATGATGACAGGATTTTCATTTTTAAGTGAACTATTTAAGAATAGCTTTGTGCAAAAGGTGCGCAACTGTTTAGCAAAGTTGCACTTCATAAATAGTGCATGTATGCCAATATACCTGCTTGGACAAGCTGCAGACTTCACTTCGAGACTCTTACGGCAGAATGCGAACAGCCTTTCCACAAAGCATATGGCCGTTACCAGCAGCAGCGCCATTAGCAAAGCTCTGGTTGCTTTTCAACAGATGGGTGCATGTAAACAACCCACTACTGCTCTAGACATTGAGGTTTTAATATGAATCATATACATTTATGACATAACCGTCTCATTATCTTCTCCATTTTTCAATGGAGTAATTAACAGGCTTCTACTGTTCTCGCCGGGAGCTTTATCGAGAAGCCAAGATCTGGCGAACAAGGGAAAAACTCCTGAAAGATGAGCAGTTCTTCTCTGTTCTGTATTCATCTGCTGTCCGCTTCACAAGGGCACAACAAATCAATGGCATCTTTCTTCTTTTCAATTAAAAACACATCTTTAATGGCTCACATAAAAAAGCAATTGCAAAAAAAAGCAGCAGGATATTTTTCATGGTCTCAGCGCACTAGTGATTAAAATCTCATTCAAATTTCTTTCTTATTAAAAAAAGTTAGTTAAACAGCTTGCAATCAGGAGCAACCTGCTACTCTGGGACGAACAAAACAGAAGATTAGAGTAGAGGAGTTTGATGATTCACCATAAAGTAAAGAAATGAGGACGGACGGACGGACGGACAGATAAAATAGAGTCTCTACTGTCCACCAAGGTTGCATTTACTTGATTAAAATACAATAAAAACAGTAATGTTGTGAAATATTACAATTTAAAATAACTGTTTTCTATCTGAATATATTGTAAACTGTAATTTATTTCTGTGATCAAAGCTGTATTTTCAGCATCATTACTCCAGTCTTCAGTGTCACATGATCTTCAGAAATCATTCTAATATGCTGCTTTATTATCAATGTTGGAAACAGTTCTTGCTGTTTATTTAATTTAATTGTATTCTATTTTATTATTATTTTTTTTTATCCTGTGATAAATCCATGTATATCTATCTATCTATCTATCTATCACACATACATTTACTTACATATTATAATAATTATAAATATATATTAATCACATATTTATTAAAGTAATAAATAATAAATAATCTATTATTATTATTATTAAAATTAGAAAAATTATTAGAAATTA